GCGCACGACCTGGAGATCCCACCAGAGTTAGTGCCCCATCTGGACATGATAGAAGACAACGCCTCTAGGACACTGTATGCTGTTTACTCGGGAAAGACAGGGCACAGTAAAGACAAAGGGTAAATGCTGATGGCAACACAAACTGTGACTAGAAGCTAAATATCCCTGTATGGTTTCATGGAGGTCCATTGTTGGGGAAAGTTGCGTATCCTAGCGTAACCCTTCCTCCACATACCACCCCCTCACCCCCCCCCCCCCCTTTTCCACCTCCTGCAGTTTTTGGTTGCTGGGGGTTTTCAAGGCAAATTTACGTTCAGTATATTCTGCACGGTCGTGTTTCGATACCACTGCCGTAACCAACGCAAGTCAACCTGCTGCCAAATTGTCTGCAGCTGCGATCTTATTCAGCTAACCCCAGCATTACGAAGGGCGTTCATCATATTTAAGCCACAGATGTCCTAGAAAGCATGTGAATAATTAGGTTATGTTTTCTTTCAAGTCGGAGTGCACCTGCCAGAGGTGACGCGAGGAACTTGTTGATAATGCATGCAACAACAAAAAAGCGCCATATCTGTAAAACAGATGTTCCTTGACACTGCCCTCCCTAAAATCCAGAAGTGGACGAACAACCAGAACTTTCTGTCAGAGTTTACAGCCGGTAAACACAACGAAGATGGAGAAGCCAGCACAACTAAAGGAATGGGGAAGACACCCGCAAATACAACCCAATGTGGCGACCATCCCACCATTGAATTCTCTAGTCACAGTTTGAGTTGTATTTATTACTTCTTGATAACAGTTCAACCGCAGTCAGTCTGTCATACTTACTTCATCAATGTATCTGTTGATTAACATTATGATTTGATTTGATTCAAGAACCGACATCACAGCACTCGGGGCATTACCATAAGCGCTCCGTCCCCATCTTCAGCAGCCAGCGAAGAGTTCCGATACTAATGGTGCCAGCAGCTTTCTGATTAAACGTCCGTCTTTATGATGTATTCCCCCAACCCTCCCCCCCCCCCCCATTCCGCACACACATATACACATCTGAGCACGCGTGCAAAAAATACAAGTCAATTTCATCATTTGTGCGCGTTCGACGTCACACAGTGCTCTCATTCAAGTCCTCCACTTAGCTCTATCGCATGCAACTCTCCCGATTCAGTCCAGCATATTTAGGCTCTCGTAAAAATATTCTTCCTTTTGTTTCCCCTGGGCGTCCTCTTTATTTCAGACCGTTTGTTTCACATTTTAGTGCTATTATATATATATATATATATATATATATATATATATATATATATATATATATATATATATATATATATATATATATATCGTTACCTTTCCTTTGGAGTATACGAGTAACGTCAAGATAGATTTAAAAAAAAAAAAGAGAGATACATCGCAAGACACATGGCTAGAGATGTTCAAGCCTGGACTTCCACATGGCTTGAGATGTTAAAACCTAGACTTCCACATGGCTTGAGATGTTCAAACCTAGACTTCCACATAGCTTGAGATGTTCAAACCTAGACTTCCACATAGCTTGAGATGTTCAAACCTAGACTTCCACATGGCTTGAGATGTTCAAACCTAGACTTCCACATAGCTTGAGATGTTCAAACCTAGACTTCCACATAGCTTGAGATGTTCAAACCTAGACTTCCACATGGCTTGAGATGTTCACACCTAGACTTCCACATAGCTTGAGATGTTCACACCTAGACTTCCACATAGCTTGAGATGTTCAAACCTAGACTTCCACATGGCTTGAGATGTTCAAACCTAGACTTCCACATAGCTTGAGATGTTCAAACCTAGACTTCCACATAGGTTGAGATGTTCAAGTCTGGACTTCCACATGGCTTGAGATGTTCAAACCTAGACTTCTACATGGCTTGAGATGTTCAAACCTAGACTTCCACATAGCTTGAGATGTTCAAACCTAGACTTCCACATAGCTTGAGATGTTCACACCTAGACTTCCAAATAGCTTGAGATGTTCAAACCTAGACTTCCACATAGCTTGAGATGTTCAAGCGTGGACTTCCACATGGCTTGAGATGTTCACACCTAAACTTCCACATAGCTTGAGATGTTCAAGTCTGGACTTCCACATGGCTTGAGATGTTCACACCTAGACTTCCACATAGCTTAAGATGTTCAAGCGTGGACTTCCACATGGCTTGAGATGTTCACACCTAGACTTCCACATGGCTTGAGATGTTCAAGTCTGGACTTCCACATGGCTTGAAATGTTCAAGCGTGGACTTCCACATAGCTTGAGATGTTCACACCTAGACTTCCACATGGCTTGAGATGTTCTAGTCTGGACTTCCACATGGCTTGAAATGTTCAAGCGTGGACTTCCACATAGCTTGAGATGTTCAAACCTAGACTTCCACATAGCTTGAGATGTTCAAACCTTCCTGTAGAAAAGTATAACACTATCGAATGTAAACACCGCGAAAACCCACCCAGCTAACAGATAAACGAAATAACTTAATTAGTAGCTAACTAGCTAACTAGCGACTACAAAGGCAGCCAACAAACCAACCAGTCAGTCAAATAACTAATTAACTTACACAGTAACCAGCAGAAAAAAAAAAACTAGCTAGCTGGCCGTTTAGCCAGCACAACATACATTCATTAAACTAACTGTCCAACAAATCAACCAACCAACAAGCCAACCAAAACAGCCAGCAAATCAAACAACTAATTATCAAACGAATTATATGTATATTTATATGGGATGAATTTAACAGCGGTTATGAAATAAGTGGACTGTCCGTGCACCCACAAGTATCAAAAGGTACAAGACAGAGAAGGTGGGGAATTATTGGACACATCCTGTGAAGAAGGGAGCATAGAATCACCAAAAAGGTATTTAAAGGGGTGAAAAAATGAATTAATGAGGCAAGGACACCCAAAAGAAACCGTTAAAAGAAAATTGATAACAGAGGCTAAGTGTGCTCGACTAGATTCCATCCAGGTATTGAATTGAATTCACAAGATAAAACAAGTTCTATGTGACACACAGTGGCACAACAGGACAATGTGCTATTTATGCATGTATGTGTGCATGTGCTTGCATCTATGCATGTATGTGTGTGTATGCATGTGTAATACATATACTGCATTGAATACAGTCTATGCAATGATGGAACTGTTCTCTTTCACATACCCTTGTATCTGTTGCAGGCTCAAGGACATCGGCATAGAAGTAACGAAGTTATCCATTGGACGACTTGTTCATACCATCCTCAGTCACATGGAGCGATACGTCAGCGAGAACTGGTAAGCTATCCATCCATTCATGCCAAACTTGCAGAACACTGAAACAAATGAATGAAGTACTGAGAAAGTACTAGTGTCAATTGGCAAATTAGAAGATGACTTCGAGAATAGATGTAATAAAGGGAATCTTTATACAAATAATCTAAGCGGCGTCTGTGGCTAAGGCGTAATCCAACGATCGAAACCCACTGCGGGCTGCGTGGATTTTTATCCTGGTATGGGACGTCGCAGTTCGACCAAGCATCAAATGGGTACCAGGATGGGCTGTCCTGCGGAAGTAGAGACAGCCGGCGTAATAGTGACCATATTACCCACCGAGTGCCGATTGGTCTGTAAAAATATTGGTGCTCTTCCCATATGCCCTATGCGCCTAAAAGCGTGAAAATAGATCTTTACTTACTTTACTTACCAATACTAAAATAGACCTCTGGGTAAATGAGAATGCATTCTATATTAATCTTCTTGGTGGAGCTTACTTCGTGAGAACAGCAGGCTACAGAACTAGAGGTCGACCTAGAAAGAAATGGATGGGTGGAGTAAAAGTGACACTACAGAAACGTAATTTGACATTAACATAAACTAGGCTTCTAGAAACAGATAGTAACCTACATCATATTCCTCCCTCTAGGCGCCTTACGGCATCGATAGGAAAAAGAAGAAGAGAACTCTTCGTTCCAAATCATCGCTAGCAGTGTGGGACTTGGGCAATGAGTTGGGCAATGAGTTGGGCAATGAGAGAAGGACAGAATATTAGAAACAAAACACTGACACGATATTCGAGAGAAGAGTACTTGACCTATCGAGAAGAGATAAAATAGAAAATTAAAAAAATACAATTAAATTTTAAAGAAAGTAGGTGTCGTAGCAACGCCAGCTTTGCCAAGAAAAAAAAATGAAGTGTTTCGACCACTGTACTTGCCTGCCATGAGAAAGCATACCACAAAGGGCAGTCATGTGTAGACCAGGCTAGAATCGAAAGGCGAGCCATGGAAAAAGTGGACAGAGGAGTGATCCCTTTGAACTTTTCTACATTATGAGGCACACAACTGGACCACTTCAAGAAATGTATAATTAATTATCCACGAGGCCGAACAGAACAAAAAGATCAAGATGATATGGGAATAATCGAGATATCTTCTTCTGCACCTTCTTAGTTTTTCCCAGGCTGTAGACTCCAGCGAAAGTTCTGGCTTTTAGTCGACTTATGGACCTTAGTCTTGTTCCAGAACATGTGTTTTGAGAGCGTATCTTTTTTACAGATCTGGCTTATTTGTATCCACATCGTTGGTTCTTCGCCTGTCAGGCAGATGCCCCCCCCCCCCTTTCCCCCCCCCCCCTTTCTTTCGACTTCTGAGGAAACGCCTTGATCAGTCGACCTTTACGACATGATTGTTGGGTGAAGTGTGTCGACCCCATGTCCCACAATGTGACCCAGAAACCCACAGAGGACATTAAATGCCATGAGATGTCATCAGTGATGTTCTCAAGTAATTAAACTCAGTATACCTACCGCTGTACACAAGGGACACTTTCATGGCTGTTAAATCTTGAATATTGAATTAATAATCAGCATCATAGCACTCAGGACATTCCCTTAAGCAGTCTGTCCCCATCTACAGCAGCAAACGAAGAGTCCCAATTTCGTTGGCACCAGTAATTGTTTGATTGTAAATCCGTCTCGCCTTTCCCTTGAGGGCTGAGCATCGGCCAGATCCACTGGTAACTCCTTGCTGCACCAATCTCTTCAGACCGTAATGATATATTTGCACTTCCGCAATGTTCACTTTCACGGCTGATATATCTGTACATTAGAGCGGGCAGGTGAGGCTGTTACGAGTGCCTAAGTGTAATTTATATGAAGGCTGAATAGGGTATTTGCTATCGGCATTGCTGGTCTGAAACCTAGATTGATATTTTATTGTATTCTATCCTAGTAGGCTTTCAGGAGTCGCCGTGACGTAACGGCTAGACGCTCGGGTGCAGATCAGAATGTCTTGGTTTCGCACCCTGGCGGAGCCAGTCTTTTCTACAAAAATGACCTTGACTTTCAGGTCGACCCAGCCTTGAGTGGGTACCAGGTGCAGTCCCGAGAAGTAAAGGCAGCCGGTGTGATGCTGCCCACATCACCCATCTTGTGCTGATTGGTCATTTGATTTGATTTGATTTGATTTGATTCAAAAACCGACATCACATCACTCGAAGCATTCGCATAAGCGCTCCGTCCCCATTTTCAGCAGCCAGCGAAGAGTTCCGATACTAATGGTGCCAGTAGCATTCTGATTAAACGTCCGTCTTGCCTTTCCTCTTAGCTTCGAGCATCTGTCAGAACCTCTCATCACTATCAACTGCATCAATCTCCCCACACTGTGGTGATCAATCAGCTCCTCCGAACTGTACAAGCTCTCCCACAAGGCACTAACCACGTCTGCCTTATCGTGCATCAGTATTCCACCAAGCTGTGCAAAGCCAGCCAGTCTGTCTGCCTGTTCATTTTCCAACACACCGGCAGTCCCTGGTAAAAATCCAGACAGTACTCTTCACCCGTGTCTTCCGCAGCGAGGCATGCCACTGTGCACGAAGCATACCTGTCCTGATCTTCCTCAGCATGCTTTCTGGGTCAGTTACAATCACGATGTGTGTGTGTGTGTGTGTGTGTGTGTGTGTGTGTGTGTGGTGTTCTCTAGCCCGCGAACGCTGCAGTGACCGCCTCCAACTCCATTTTTAAGCTGGATGTTGTGGTATCATATGCTAGGCTCTCCTGCACCAAACGTGGACCATTAACTTTTGCTAAGAAACCCCAAGCACTTCTCTTGCCTCTTGACACTGAGTCGTCTCTGTAAATGATCAAATCCTCTGAGCGAGCATTATCTTGAATTAATTGCTGAATATCCACCTCTGTGGCACCTGCTGGCCAGTCTCTGCATTCCCGGCTCAGTGTGATTATAACTCTACACAAGTAGCGTCAATAATCATACTTGTCAGTAAAAAGATAGGTCTAGCCCTATATGCCCTATACCCCTAAAGGCGTGGAAAAGGGACCTTTTTTTTTTAACTTAGTAGCCTTTCTGGTAGCAGTTCAGAAAGAAAAAAAAAAAAAAATCGACCGATAGCCTGGTGTATACCGATGCTAGTGTACATTGTTTTAAAGTGCCCAATTTAGCTGGTGGGAAAATGTGGCTGGCTCTGCAGCACTTGGTAGGAATTGATGTATAACAAGTTGGCTATTGTGAGGGCCCTTTGGGAACGAGGGAACAGTGCGGAGGCGCCGATAGATCGTTACGGTCTAAAGATGAATGGCGCTGCAATTAGTTCCCAGGGGATCTGGCCCACGCTTAACACTCGGGGAAAGGATGAGACGAATATACAGTCAGACTGTTACTGGTACCATCGGAATTGGAACTCTTCGCTTGCTGCTAAAGATGGAGACTGAGCACTTCTGGGAGTGTCCCGAGTGCTGTAATGTCGATTCTTAATTCAACATTCCTTTAAAGTGTCTAATGGGCACTCAATATGTCTACATCACACCGGCCGCCTATATTTCACCAGATATTTTCACATACCTATGTTAGGCGACTAGGCACCGTAACATGGTCGGTCTGATCACACTATCCAGACCAGTGCAGTAGCGTGGTGTCGCTTGCAGAGGCCCAGGAAGAGCTTGGAACAGAGGCTGTTGGTTCGGACCCAGTTAACGCCTGGCAGCAACTGGAAGGCCGGTGATTGAGTTGCGATTTTAAAGCTCTTCGACCGAATTGGGTTGGGTTATAACTAGAGCCACCTCTGAGGCAAGCTATCTACTGTTTGTTGTAAGTACTTTAAAGGCCGATGTATATATATATATATATATATATATATATATATATATATATATATATATATATATATATATATATATTGCTTAGGTGCTGGGTTAGTTGTGTTTTGAGACAGACACATTGTTATGGAGCTGCCAACGTGATCCTGATTTTAAGGCGATAAGAAGCTCTTTGACACAGTGCGATGTTGACCACGTGATTCACCTAGTGCTGATTGCTCTATATTATATAGGTCTAGAACTAAATGGCAAGGATAGAGGACTTTGGTGGCAGTGAATCCACATCACTAGCCAGAATGGCAGACTTGGGAATTAAGATCGGCATAGCAAAAAACGAGACGCACACCAGACACGCCAGAAGACTTGTTAATCAACATAGAACTGGTACTATTAGCCATCGGACGTTGGGGTTCATACTGAGGGGAGGATCTGAGCACCTATGGACATGTCCGGAGTGCAATGAAGATAACCCAACTAACTAACTAACTAACTAACTAACTTACTCACTCACTCACTCACTCACTCACTCACTCACTCACTCACTCACTCACTCACTCACTCACTCACTCACTCACTCACTCACTCACTCACTCACTCACTCACTCACTCACTCACTCACGCACTAACTTACTCAGTCACTAACTAACTAACTAACTTACTTACTTACTTACTCAGTCACTCACTCACTCACTCACTCACTAAATCACTCACTAACTTTCTAACTAACTAACTAACTTACTCACTCACTCACTCACTCACTCACTCACTCACTCACTCACTCACTAACTAACTAACTAACTAACTAACTAACTAACTAACTAACTAACTAACTAACTAACTAACTAACTAACTAACTTACTCAGTCACTCACTCACTCACTCACTCACTCACTCACTCACTCACTCACTAACCAACTAACTAACTAACTAACTTACTTACTCACTCACTCACTCACTCACTAACTAACTAAGGTCTCGAACTATATCCCTAAAAAGCCTGTAGACGTGGAAAGGGATCCTTTACATTTATTTTAACTTGCTAACTTTGACTACATTGCCCAGCATGGTCAAGCTGTACTTATTCTCCGGACACGACACTTCTCTGACGCCCATGATGGAAGCTTTGGGCATTTGGGACTTCGTGTGGCCACCATTTGCTGCCAACATCATATTTGAACTTTACTTTCGAGAGCGGGATTCCCACTACTTTGTCCGGGTCTTATATTGTGGGCAGGTTTGTCGCTGTTTTGTCTTTGGATTTAACTGTCCCTACCGTTCAACTCATTATAGGTTTGTTGCTGTTTTGTCTCTGGATTTAACTGTCTGTACCATTCAACTCATTATAGGTTTGTTGCTGTTTTACTCTGGATTTGACTGTCTGTACCATTCAATTTACTATAGAATTGTTGCTGTTTTGTCTCTGAACTTAACTGTCTGTACCGTTCAACTCATTATAGGTTTGTTGCTGTTTTGTCTCTGGATTTAACTGTCTGTACTATTCAATTCATTATAGGTTTGTTTATGTTTTGTCTCTGGATTTAACTGTCTGTACTATTCAATTCATTATAGGTTTGTTTATGTTTTGTCTCTGGATTTAACTGTCTATACTATTCAATTCATTATAGGTTTGTTTCTGTTTTGTCTCTGGATTTAACCGTCTATACCATTCAATTCACTATAGGTTTGTTGCAGTTTTGCCTCGGGACTTAACTGTACCGTTCAACTCATTATAGGTTTGTTAGCAGTGTTAATAGATATTAAATTCGTCGGACTCGCTTGTGTCCCAGACTGGTATCATCAGAATTTGTACTTTGCATTAGCTGCTGCAGATGCGTATGGAGCGCTTACGGGTTACTGGGTTTTAATTTTTATCCAACATTTAATATAAGGTTGTCTAGATTTATAGTTTAACTGTTTTTGCATGATAATTTCAACATCTTTGGACTCGCACACTTGTTACTTTGAAGTTAAATTTCTCATGACAAAAAAGTCTTAACGTAATTTCAGACATTGAAATACTTGTTACTTGTCCCTACAAAATGGCAAGCATTGCTTCAGTGGTTACGGGTAGCTAGCGTCCTGTGAGTATTTTCTCGAGTTTTTGAGGTGCGTTGAGAAACAAAGAGGCTGACAGACTGGACGGGCCTGCACCATTTGGTGGGAAGTGATCCATGCTAAAAAACATGTCGTCAACGGAATTTTAGAGCGAGTATACAGGTGGACAAACAAACTGATAATTACGGCGTGGAGAGAATGGTTCGGCAGGGAGTAACCAGGCGGTTTGGTCGACACTAAAAACATTTTAAAAAAAATAAAACAGAAACAAAGACAACGCAAGACGGAAACAGTCAGATTACTACGGGTATCATAAGAATTTGCACCTTGCATTAGCTGCTGCAGATGGGGATTGAGCGCTTATGGGTTATGGGATTTCGATTTTTATCCAACAGTTAATATAAGTACACTGACTCAGGTTGTCTAGATTGTTGGTTAAACAGTTTTTGCATCATAATTTCAACATCTTTGGACTCGCATACTTGTTACTTTGAAGATGAATTTCTCATGACGAAAAAGTCTTAACGTAATTACAGACTGTTAAATACTTTTTACTTGTTGTCCCTATCGACATGCTAGCATACGTTGCCGACCCATTCGTGCTGCGTCCTCCGATGCAGTGGTCATCTGGTCTCCCTACTAAACCATGATTGTTGGGAGAACCGTAGAAGTTGAATGTCTTCTTTCTTTTTCCAGCAAAAAGTTTCTGCTTGCTTGTCCTCGCTTAATACCTAAATGATATTGATACTGAAGGCACGGGAGGAGGAGGAGGGAAAAGAAGAAGAAGAAGAAGAAGAAGAAGAAGAAGAAGAAGAAGAAGAAGAAGAAGAAGAAGAAGAAGAAGAAGAAGAAGAAGAAGAAGAAGAAGAAGAAGAAGAAGAAGAAGAAGAAGAAGAAGAAGAAGAAGAAGAAGAAGAAGAAGAAGAAGAAGAAAAAGAAGAAGAAGAAGAAGATGACGAAGAAGAAGAAGAAGATGAAGAAAGAAAAAGAAGAAGAGGAAGAAGAAAAGTTACGAAATTTTAAGAGGTGGTGGAAGTGGACCGGAATAATAATGAGAATAAGAAGATTTGAAGATAGCATTATGATGATGATGGTGATGATGATGACGATAAATGTGATGCAATATGAAAGGAAAGTAACTTGTGTGTGTGTGTGTGTGCTTCTGTTTTGGAAAGTAACGAAACATGCAACACAAAGAAACTTTTTAACTATATTTAAATTGTTTTTTTCTTTGACTTCTAGCCCAAAGTTCTTCGAGACGCTTCAGGTCCGTTAATACCCTTCAACGATTTCAGAAGGATTTTACAGCGATACAGACTTCCCCACTTCTTGTATCCACGCAGCTGCATGATACAGTATTTGACGTAGGATTGAGCGACTTTCTCAAGATCAGTAACTGTCGGGACACTCAATATTTGTCATCAGATTCAGTTGAGTGCCAGGATCGGTGAAGGAATAAATAAAGAATTGTCACCACTGCGCTCATGTCACTCCTATACATGTACTCTTCCCTCAGTTGTCAACGAAGAGCTGAGATACAACATAATGAAAACTCCTCCTATGCTTCCCCTCAGCGTTGACTATTCTAAAAACGTCTGCTCGATCCTACGGAATTAGTCTTTCAACGTTCGGATACTCTGTTCTGTTCACGTTACCCAGGATAGCTTTCGCGAAGCCAGTTTTACCGTAAAGTAGCTGGCAATCGAGAGGAACGGTAGCAACCGTCTATCAGCTTGCTCATTTATGCTGTCTATTTACTTTAATGATACATTTTTTACATCTTCATAGTCGAATATGGGAACAGTCTGCCTGGTCGACAACTATAAGAGAGACAGATCACCTATGAATGAGTCCAAAGTGTACTAATATCGATTTTCTAGCAAAGTGAAAAGATTACTTCAGTCCACTAGATTTTAGTCCCATATGACTAGGACTCTTATTATCAGAATAGCTGGTCAGATATCAAGAATACCTCATACAATTCAAAAGTCCATAGCTCCAACAACGAGCCCAGAACGTGAATCACATGCACTGGCAAACAAGAGGACTTAATCTATATCGAACCCACAACCTTCAGAGTCTCAGGCAAATTTCTTAACAACTTCGCCATGAAAAACCTTCTTCAACTTATTAATTGATTAGTTAGACTGTTCTGTGATATCAAGTGTAGAAGTGGCTGTCTGACAAAATGTATATATTACATGAATTTTTTAAAATAAGTATTGTGAATAAACATATATGTATGTCACAGAGTGCGTACATTATTTACGAGTGATTTAATACAGAGTAAATATGAGTAATTGCAGCGTCCGTGGCTAAGGCGTCGCGAGTCCGACTAATCATGGGCCTAATGAACCTCGAAGAAAAACAGATGGCAACGAACCGCCAGAGACGGAGAGTTATTGCCTCTGCCCTATGCGCCGCTCTAGAGGAGTATTTAACTAAAGCATTAATGGACGAATAAGTAAATGATTTATCATTGTAGGATCTGATCCAATTGGTCTCTGTTCAGCCCTGGGTTCTTAGTTCTGTTGATGACATTCCTTCGTGCAGTCTCAAAGCTGCTATAAGGATTTTTCTCCTGGTCTATATCTGCCTGCCATACCTCTGTAGCCTCTACGAACCTCTGAAAGGCATCTCTTTTTTTTAAGAGGAAAGAGCAGTTCGTTTTTCTAGAGCTGAGTTAAGTAATTTATAACCTGGCATCAGAAACACTCGAGGCATTGCCATATGCGCTCTGTCCCAATCTTCAGCAGCCAGTGCAGAGCTCTAGTACCAACCGTGCCAGCAAGATAGTGATTAAAAATCTGTTTTGACTTTCTTCTGATCGATTGGTGAATCAAGTATATTATGCTATTTTATACTGACCAATAAGCAGCGGGAATGACGAGGGGTTCTGGCCGATACTCGACGCTCAGAGGAAAGGCAGGACGGACATATAGTCAGAATGCTACTGGCACCATTTGTTTGCTTATTAGCATAGTCATCCCCTTGTGGGATGCAGCTTTTCGTTATTTTGAAGCCCTACCCTGGTTCTTGCCATTGGCCGCAATATAGTCCGGCCATAAATATGGTATAATGACTGAACGCGGTTTCTGGGACCTCTCCACGGGTGATCCTCATCCACATGATGGCACTTGTGTCATCGGGTGTTTATCGCTTGTGTGATGTCCTGGTGGGGTAGAAAGTCAGTTCAGTTTTGGTTCTATCGTTACTGGAACACTGCTGGCTGCTGAAGATGCAGACGACGCGCTTATGGAAATGCCCTGAGTGTTGTGATGTCTGTTATTTAATCAACCCAACTCGACTGACTAATCGGCACTCAACAGATAGAAACCACACAAGTGAAGAACTTAGATTGTATAGATTATTTTGTTCCGCTAAATAAGGACTGCAAAAACATACGAAGAAAAGAAAATAATCTGCCATTTAAAGCATAATGGTTCGGATTACAAATCAGTTATGAAAAGACAAATATTCTGGAGATAGCAATAACAGATAAAGTAGATGACACAGTAGAAACGAAAGGATTTTAAGTGACACATTTCTTTGCATATTTACCTAGTCGTTTACATACTCTCCGATTCCTGTTCCTTCTATTATCTCGCCCATTCAGATTCTTGTTCCATTCTGGTCCGTTCAGATGCTTGTTTCATTCTGATCACTTCAGATTCTTGTTTCATTCTGATTGAATTCTGAGTCTTTCAGATTAATTCTCAGATTCCATTCTGGGTCTTTCAGCCTCATGAGCTTCCATCCTCATTTCTCTTCCCGTAGTCTTGATCCACTCGGTCATATCTTTCTCCTTAAATCTCATGTGAACTGATATTTCCTTCAGCTTCTGGATAGAAAAATGGGCTGCGCCGGGCTGGTCTGTCAAAAGAGTTAAAAAAATATCCAACAAAATTATCCAACCACCAAAAAATGTAACAATCACCAACGACGTGAACTCACAGTAAACCTTAACCATGCCTACTAAGATTTGGTTGAAATTGCAGAATGCAATATAATAATTAGATTTCTATGTCTCCTATTTCCTGGAAAAAATTCCCAAGGAAATACAACATAAAGACAAATAAAAAAAACAACCACTACGTCAACAGACGACTTACAAGAGCAAAGTCAAGAATTGACCCCGGGTGGTCACAACTGTGTTAACAAAAGTGTACAAATAATGAA